GAATCGGGAGCTCGCATACAACAGCGGGCTCAATTGCCCGTGGCTCTGCCTGTGGTGATGGACACGCTACCTGGAGCATAAGGACACTGAGGTTCCTGCTGGCCGAAACATGAGGGATAAGCTGACCGCCGACCTACAGGACCACAGTGCCACGCAGGGAATTCGGGTCAGCACCAACCTCCCGGAACCCCCCCAGATGCCAATCGGACGTGCCCATGTGCCCAACCCCAGCAGTGATTGCCCGTTGGCCGCTCAGCTGCTTCTGGAGGTCACCGGAGCTCACGACCCAGCGCAGATGGGCAGCACCATTCCCAACTGCCGCCCCATCGACGACCGCTTCGGCACCGACGCCACGGAGACCAGTTTCTATTGTGCCATCTGCGACAGCTGCAGCGGCGACCCCGTGCAGCTGGTGCGGGGACCGGGCCGCCCCGCTCTTGGCTCTTTCGTCTGGAAGCCAAGCCCTGGTCAGAGGTGCGAAGACAGATGCGGCCTCCACAAACGGGATCGGTGGGTGGAATGTTTGTCGTCCGGTTCGCGGAGCGTTTCCTGGCACTGCCGCATCTGCCTGGTGCACATCTGGGACATCGCACCCAGCGTCCCCACGGCCATACTGGACAGAGACTCAATCTGCACGTGCCCTCCCGTCTCAACAAAGAGGCCCCCCAAACCCAAACATGCGGCTGGCGACGGCCCGCGGGGCAAGCTTGGCCGCGCACGCGCTGCGCGTTGCACGGCAGGGCGATGGCGAGGGCCAGCCCGGGGAAACAACGCCACCCCACGCCAGTAAGCCAGACAGCTCACGCATCATCCGGCTCGACCACATCCTCGACATCCTGCCGTGTCTCGACCCCCCCCGTGCCCGCGCGTCGGGCGCAGAGAGGTTGAGGCACTCATAGTGGCAGCGAGTGACGAGCGCGAGATGGCGGCGGTCTCTCCCACGCAACTGGCAAGGCATCTCCGCTGCCTCGACCCAGCTTCCGACGACGCCTGGATCGACCTCGCTGCCCAGGAGGGCCCCAAAGCGGACGTTTGGAGCGACGGCGCCAGGGTACACGAGCACGCCTGCACCATCATCCGGACGCTCTTCACCAGCACCTTATCCCGACGACGGAGTCCCACCCGGCGTCGCCTGGGATGGTGAGCGCTGGGCTGCTGTCCGCCTGGTGCGCCGTCGCGTCCAGGAACCGCTGCCGAGGCGCTTCTGGTTGCTCTGCGCCCAGGGGGGTGCGCCGCGCAAAGACGCCTGCCCCGCTCGCCACCGCGCGGAAACGCTCGTCGACTGGCTCGCAAGCATCGACCCCGATCTGCTCCCGGACGACGCTTCGATGCACTGGGGGGCGGGCGCCATCGGCGCGGGCCCGACAGCGGCGTCGCGCGGCGCAGCCGAGCCGGCACGCGCGGGCCTTCCCCCCAGCGGCCGCGGGGAAGACGCAGAGCCCGACCGGGCTACGGAGCCGGGCGCGGACCCTGCTGCCGACGCAGACTACGACGCAGCGCGAGCTCACCCAGACGAGGAGTCGGTCGACAGCGGTTGGGGCGCGGGGCGGGGACCGATGTGCCACAGAAGAGTCCACTGCCTCCAGCAGACGCGGGCCCCGCCGCACGACCTGAACCCGCTGGGGAAGGGACTGGCGGGAAGTCCCCCGCTCAGCTGTCATTCTCCGCGCCGCCGACCATGCAGGCCAGCTGCGGCCGCGGCCCCGTGGGCGCGCGGGGGCCGCTTTCGCCCCCCGTCTCCTGGAGGGCACAGCTGGAAGCAGGGGCGCAGCGCAGGTCAGCCTGGATGCTCGCAGAGGGCCGCGGCAAGGGGCGCGACCGACCTGCGCGGGGCGCCTGCGACCAGGATCAGCGAAGCGGGACACGCGCGCGCAGCCCCGCCAACAGCAGGCTCCGGCTGGAACGCGCGAGACGACGCGCGCGCATGGGCCCACCCGGTCGAGCACCCCGTTGGTAGCGCAGGTGAGTTCGAGGCCCATGGCGCGACAGAGCCGCCAAACCGCTTGCGCCGGCCGACCGCCAACTTCGGGCACGCGCGACAGGAGCGCATGACGGGCGACCGGGGCAGCGACGGGTGATCAGGCAATTGGCGAGACCAGGGCGCCCCTGACACACGCAGCGGTAAATAGGGCAAGCGCAGCCACGACTGGGATGGGCCCCTATCAGAGACAGGCGCCATCAGTAGGCCCCCCGACTGCGCGCTCAGCCGCATCCCGCTGCACTTCCCGCCGCGCGTCCTGCCGGCTGTATTCCTTTCTTGCGTTTGCTGCGATCAGCTGCCGTCCCGCCCTCTTCTTCCCTTCCTTTTCTCGATGCCTGCCCCCGTTGGTGGGGGCTGCGCGTCGCCCGGGGTGCGCCTCTGCCTGGGGATATCACTGCATCCTTTCTCGATGCATTTGCAGCGATCAGCTGCCGCCCCCATTCCTCGCCCCTAGGATTTGCGGCGATCGGCCGCCTGTCCTGCGTCTTGGCCCGGGGTGCCATCTGGCAGGCCACCTTTGCGCTGCTATAGGCTTGCCGCTGGACATGGCATTGGCGGCCAGCGCGCCGCCGGAGCGCTGGCGCTGGGGGCGCATTTCGTTCACGACGGCGGCATCGACGGCCGCGAGGGTTCACGACGGCGGGCATCGACGTGGACGTGCTCCTGATCCCGCCAGGGGCCCCTCTGCCGCTCAAGGCGTCCATTGTCTCGCTGGCTAAGTTCTGTGCGGGCCGCTGGCCGCTGCGTCGCTGGCCGCCCGCCGCCCCCCGCGCGGGGCGCCCGCTGTCGCGGCGCTCCGCGCCCTCTTGCAAGGCTGCGCTCTGGGGGCTGGTCGCGTTGCTTGGCCGCTGCCGCGCGCTTCCCTTCCCGCGGCACCGTTGGTCTTCTGCATCTACGCGAAGGGGTACCATCTGCGGCATTTGATTTTCGTTCTCCTCGCGACAGTCTACATCGCCCTGCCGGGCGCGCCCCCTGGCGGATGTTTTGGGGCGGCTTCTTCTGGTCCTATTCGCAGAGGTGGTATTTGCCTGCGTTGAGCCTGGGACGGCGGTCCTCCTGCTCTTCTGCAAGGTCTTCGCGCTCGGCCAGCTGGGTCCGGCATTCACCTTCGTCGCCGCCGTCCCGGGTAAGTGTGAACGCGGCCCTCCTCGGCGCCTTCCTCGCGCTTCTGGTGCCCTTCGATGCCTCTGTATTGTTCGTCTGAGCTCCGCTCCGTACCGGGCTTTGCTCCTCGCTTCCTGTCCGCAGCCGGCGGCGTAGCTTGGCCCTGCCGGCCCGGCGCTTGACCCGCTTCGCGCGCCCGCGCACAACAAAAATCCTTCACCAGCCCATTTAGAGACCCTGACTTTGAGAGCTGACGGGAAAAAGGGACGAAAAAAACACATCTATAGTGAAACAACGTGAGCAATCAGGCTAGCTCTCTTGGGGCTCTCTTGGGAGGCCTCTTGAGGGCCCTGGAAGGCTTCTCGGGCGTGTCGTGGAAGGCGTAGGTGAAGAGAGGGGGTGCTAACGTTTAGTCCTCCTTCTCGGCATCGCAGTAGCATCTTGGGGCGCTCTTGGCCCCCTCTCGGGGCGCTCTCGGGCGGTTTTGGGGCCGTCGCGCGGGCAGATGGCCCCGAAATGGCCCCAAGACTTGTTGGGCCGCCTCGGGGCCACCTTGACGCTTCGAAAACCCTTCGGAAGCGAAAAAGCGACAAGGCACAAGTCATAGATTTTCCTCAGGTGTTTGAAGGATCCCGGCATCTCGGGGCGGTCCTGAAGGGTCTTGGGGCCACCTGGAACCGTTCTGTGGCCCTCTTGCGGCGTTTTGGAGGCATGGTGGAGGTCATCGTGAGCGACCTTGCGCAATTTGGAGTTTCCTGGGAGGCCATCTCGGAGCATCGGATGCCTTCTTGGAGCCATTTTGAGCGAATAGTGCGCCTTCTGATGACTCGCGACCCATCCGTCTATACCCATGGGAGTGGAGGGGTCGGGCACCCCTCCCCGAAGGGAGGAGGGGTTTCGGGAGAGGAAATAATTTTATCGTTGGACCACCTACGCCCAGAGGGCTGGTGGGATTTCTTCTGACGAAGCTGCGCGGTGCTAAGGCGAGGGCCACATGTTGAAAACGACCCACCCCCCATCCGCGAAACTGCTGCAATGTTTTAGGACGCGTGTGCGCGGTGCTAAGGCAGGAGCCACATGCCGAAAACGACCCACCATCCATCCATGCGCGAAGTTCTTGCCAACTTCAGGTTTCACGATCGTGAGTGGCGAGGAAGTCTTTGGCGAACCGCCAGGCCCGCCTTTCCGACATGTCTCGGGGTATGACAGGGCGGAGTCATTCACAAGGAACAGGAATTGAGGATGAGGAGGACGACGACGCGAAAGGGGGAGGAGGAGGAGGAGGAGGAGGAGGAGGAGGAGGAGGAGGAGGAGGAGGAGGAGGTACGCGATGGAAGGAGGAGGCGGTTCCAGGCTCGAAGGTCAAAGATTCGATGGAATCATCCTCCCTCCCCCTCGCTCCATCCTTCTCCTCGTGGGGGAGAGGGCGGAGAACTATCAAGTTGAGAGGGCCGGTTGCGTGGACCAGAGATCGAAGGGGGGGAGGGGGATGAGGAGGGAGGCATCTTCGTTCTTCCCCTCCGCTCTCCCTCCTCGCCCGCCCTGAAGAGGGGGGCGACAGAGGCTTCCCCCCCTCCTTTCCGTTCTCCATCCTTGATGGGGGAGAAGGGAGGGATCAAAGTTCGATGGAGAGGGGAGTGGAGGACCGGCGAACAGGATCGAGTTTCGAGTCGAGGGCCGGTTCCCGCCTGTTCCATCCCCTCCTTCCTTGATGGGGCTCGGAGGGAGGCTGAGAAAGAGAGAGACAGAGAGAGAGAGAGAGTGCGCCGCGCGTCGCGCGAAACGCTCCTGCAGAGAATCCTTTAGAGCGCACGCCCCCGCTGATGTCTCGAGTCCAGGCCGGCCCCTCCGCCGCCCGACGCCCGAGCCTTCACCCCTGGTGCTCGTCCCGCGCTTCCCCTGACGCGGGCTGCAGGGTCTTCATGGACATCAACATGGACAACCTGGCGCTCCGGTGTTTCAACAAGGTGTTGGAGCCAGCGGAGGCGCCCGCTGGCTGGGGCCTGGACGGGGGTGGAGAGGATGTTGCCATTCGAGCCCTGGCCTTCCGACGCTCTCGCGGGTGGTGGGGCCAGGGCTCTGCGACCCAGGGGGGCCGCTTCAGGGCTCGGGGGGGCCCGCGAGCGGTCCCGCGCGCGCCTGGCAGCCCCGCCCTCTGCCCAAGGACGGGAGGGCGTTGGCAAGCGAAGCGGGAGTTGGGCCTCGGTCGTGCGGCCCTTCTCTCTCTCTCTTTCTGCCCCCCCCCCTCTGCTCCCCCCCGTTCCCTCTCCTCCTTCCCGCACGGCCTGGTCATACTTTGGGACGTCCCCGTGGCCAAGCCTCGAGAGCAGGCAGAATCAAGACAGTGTACCAGTGCACCCAGCGCACATGATGGGGCCACAGAGTAACAGGAGGGCGTCAGTGGCTGGCGCCCGCGAGCGGGTGTGCAAGAGTTTTGGTGTGCCAGGAACGAATGAGTCGTCATGCGCGAGACATGGAGGCACATGGTGGGCTACAGTTCACGAAACTTATTTCGCCAGGGAGCAACCCCGTTCCCTGTGTTGACAAACAGGATGAGCAACTACAGAAACTGTAGTCTTCTTGCCTCGGTTTCTTGCGACTCTGATTTAGTGTGCAGGTCTTGGCATCAACCTTTGGCGACTTGAGATTATCAGTGGATTCGCAGTTTCGATCGCGCCCGGATCGCATGGCTGGCTGATAATCTAGGGACCATGAGACGGCGTAGTGACTGAATGAGACGCTACGCCTTGTCCGACGAACGAGTTGAAGGTGCTGATATAGGAGCTCCCCGTTGTACGTGCCGTCTGTAGAATATTGATGACTTCTTGGCAGAGCCCTCGACGAGACGTCGCTGTGCCGCTGCTTCCCCGGCCGCATCCCGACTTTAAGACTTTGACTCAAGCTTCGAGAACCCGGGGACAAGCAGTGTGTCCCACGGGCCTGTCTGTGTGTTCCCCGCCATCCTACGCTTTGAGGAGACAGCGCCCCGCGTCATCCCTCCATCCTCCTTCCCCTCCTCGCCCTCCTCCTTCCATCCCTCGCCTCCGTCCTCCGTATGTCTCTGCTTCGGCACACCCCTCACGCGCTGCATGGCCCCACGGGTAGCTCCACCGAAGGCCCCAGCGGCAGCGCCCGCATGGCACCACCGCAGGCAGTTCGGCCCCCCCCCTACAGTCGGGGCCCTGGAGAGGGAAGCCCTTCTCGTTGGGGAGGGGCTCCGTGGTCCTCAGCTGTTTCGCAGTTTGCCCTCTGTTTTCCTGAGGTTTTCCATGGGAAGTCGAAGTTCAACCTATGGGAGAGAGGGGCCCCGCTCCTTATTTCGGGTTCCTCAGGTCAACGCCCCGCCTGTAGACGTTTCGTGGCCCCGATGGGGAGCTCCACCGAGGGCTCTGGCGGCAGCACCACCCGCAGGGCACCACCGCTGCCGCTTCGGCACGCTCCTCACGCCCCTCGTGGCCCTCTCCTTCCTCCTCCTCCCCCTCCTCCCCCTCCTCCCCCTCCTCCCCCTCCTCCCCCTCCTTGGGGAGCTAGCTCCACCTAAGGCTCCAGTGGCAGCGCCCGCAGGGCACCACCGCGCTCGATTCGGCACACCCCTCACACGCTTCGTGGCCCCATGGGGAGCTCCGCCTGAAGCTCCAGCGGCAGCGCCCGCACCCGTTTCGGCACGTGTCTCACACGTTTCGTGGCCCCCCAAATCAGCTCTATCGAGATCGGTCGGCACCCACCACGCGGTACTCACAGTTACATACGGCCGGGTTTTTCGCCAGGATGCTGAGGTTGCAGCGTCCAGCGTGCACGGCACCCCTCCAGGGACAAAGTCCCATGCACCGTCCTTGCACGCGGTGCGCGGCTCTCCCTCCCGACCCAAAATTTTGTATACCTGAAAAGTGCGTGCACGCCACGCACATCCATGTAACAAGCGGACGTGCACGCGAAACACGTTCTCGTTGGCGATAGTTTTGCCCTGCCACTTTCCGCGGCATGCGTGTATAGCGCCCCGTCAGGGTGCATTATATACGATTCCGTCTCTTAAGCTCGCCTCTCCGCTCCGTCCACGGGTGGTGCACTCTATACGTCCTCGTCCTCCTGCCGAGGCCGAGTGTGGTTCCAGGGACTGCTGAGCCAGATCGACATTCTGAAAACACAGGTGCACTCTAAACGTTTTTTCCTGAGTAATCGGAAGTGCACGCTAAACGTTTTTGTTTCAGAAATCGGCAGTGCACGCTGACCGTTGAACGAACGCGTATAGAGTGCACCTCACTGCGACGTGCATTCCATGTATACACTTGGCCGTATAGCGTGCCCTTGCAATTCCCGACGTGCATTCTGAATGCTGCAACCTGAGGGCATTTTTGGAGCTGACCCGCCGTGCAGCATTTGCCCAACATGGCACTCTCCTCTGTGGACCAGCCGGCCTTTTCACCAGGACTCTGCGAACCATCCCGTTCCCGAGGCGGCAGCGGCCCTCGCATCCGCGAGGCTATGCGATGTGGGCGCGGGCGGAAACGGCCGCCACCTTCCGCCACCTCGGGGATGCTGCAGCAGACGTCTGGAGGAAGGGCGCCGATCTCGGCGAGCCCTGGGGCCCGGGCAGGGGCCCCATAGTCCACCGTGCTCTGGGACTCCCAGCCCCCACCCCTCCCGACGCCCCCGGCGTCGAGCACCCGCTGTCTCAGGAGGAAAAGAAACACACAGACACAATTAATCGGCGATCCCCCAGAGAATGTGGGAAAATATGGGAGCTGGGCGGGAAGACAAAAGCCAAGAACATAGGGGGAAATATGGGGGATTCTTTTATTTGTGTGTACTTATTTGTGTGCCCCAGGGCCCCTTCATTGTCGTGCCCCCTGCGAGCACGCGGCCTGCCTGGCCGGCGCGCCGAGCACCCGGGCGGCCGCCCGCCGGCGACGGCCGCCGGGGCGAGGCCCTCCTCCTCCTCCTCCTCCTCCTCCTCCTCCTCCTCCTCCTCTATCCTCCTCCTCCTGCTCCTCCTCCTCTATCCTCCTGCTCCTCCTGCTCCTCCTCCTCCTCCTCTATCCTCCTGCTCCTCCTGCTCCTCCTCCTCCTCCTCCTCCTCCTCCTCATTCTCCTCTATCCTCCTGCTCTCCTCCTCCTCCTCCTCCTCCTCCTCCTCCTCCTCTTCGCCGAGGCCCTCCTGCGAGGGCTCGCGGCCGCGGCCGCGGGCTCGCTCGCGCCGCGGCCGCGGCCGCGGGCGCCCCCGCGCAGGAGGCCGCGGGGCGGCAGCCGCTGTTCCGGCGGCACGCGCTGCTCCTGAAGGCCCCCGCTGTGCGTCGGCGTCGGCGTCGGCGCCCTCGTCCTCGTCCTCGTCCTCGTCCTCGTCCTCGTCCTCGTCGTTCGTCGTCGTCGTCGTCGTTTTCCTTTTCTTCGTCCTCCTCGTCTTCCTTGTCGTCATCGTTCTCGTCCTCGTCGCTCTCGCTGCCGCCGCCGCCCTCGACCGAAAGGTGCGGTGGCGGAGGGGGGGGGTAGAGGGTGGGAGGTCAGGGGTGGGACCTTCCTGCGCCCCCGAGAGGTCCAGCGGAGTACTGTCCTTCGCAGACCAAGTCAAGAACTCGCCACCGAACGCAGACCGTCGTCCTTCTTGGCTTGCGTCTTGCGGGGTCAGCGCTGTGGTGTCCTAATGACGTGAACCAAGCGAAACCTCGCCTCCCTGAGTGCTGCCAAACCCACAGCTGTCCACACGTTTCTCGTTCTGCGCCTCTGGGGGGGTCGAGCGGAGTAGCGTCCTGACTCAGATCCACCCCGTGGTTTTCAAACGTATTCTCTTGGCTTTGTGCATCCCTGGATCGTTCAGAACGCGTCGCGACGTGACATCGCCGTATTCCTTAATTTCTTGGGCCTGCAGTGGTGCAAGCCTGCCCCTGCGACATTCGGGCATTCGGAAGGGTTCACAGATTTTGGAGAGCGTCCAGAATGCGTTCATCCTGAGGCCACGGTTTTGGGCTCCCACATAAAAGCCCAAATGCGCCGATCCGGCGTGTCAGCTTCAAACAGCCTGAGCTACAGCCTGCAGCCTGAGCTTCAGCTCTGCTGGGCGGGGTGCCGGGTTGGCCTTGCAGGGAAGGGGGGAGGGGGGCGCTTGTAATCCGTTTTCTGGGCGGGGCTAGGACACGGAAAAATCTGCCAAATTCCCACCCCGGGGGTCAGAGAGCCCAAGATGGCCGCCAGATATTTCCCAGACGGCTCAAGATGCACCCAAGATGGTCCAGGATGCCCTCCAAAAAAGGCCCGAAGAGGTTCAAATCATTGATTCTCAAGGATTTTGAAGGATTTGGGCGCTTTATTCTTTACGGCCTTCCGACGGCCCCAGAGGCCCCCAAGAGCGCCCCAGAGGCCTCCAAGATGGCCCTATGACGGCCCAGGAGGCTCCTAAGACGGCCCCAACAGGGTCCCAAGACGGCCTCACAGGCCCCCAAGACGACCAAGATAGTCTCCAAGACGGTCCTGAAGCGCCCCCAGGGCGCTCCTAGACGGCACAGCGAGGCGCTCAGGACGGTTTCCGACGGCGTCCGACGGGCCAGGAACGTCCTAAGACAGCCAGAAGGGCTTCCACGAAGCCCCCACGACGCTCAAAGACCCCCTCAAGAGGCCTCATACGACAGCCCCAAGAAGGCCCCAAGATGGCCCCATAGGCCTCCAAGCGAACCCGAGCATCATCGGGAGCGCCCCAGGTCGGCGGCACTGTCCGAAGGCCACTACAATGATTAACGAATGGATGGGTGCGTGGCCTTGTTGGCTCAATGTCTAGACCCATTTGAGAGAATCCGCGGTGAGCTTGTGATGATACTGTTTGGCGATGCGTGTGTTGGGCGCGCAGTTCTCACTAGCGCGCGGGGGGGGGTCCGGCCGTGCTGTTACCATTCGAACAAGTGTCTGGGCATGGTGTGGCGGTGCTTGCGATGTTTTCTGGTGCGACCATCGCGTGCATCGAGGTGTACACAGACACCACTCAAGGTTCGTACAGTACGGTCGCTATCTCAGTAGCAATGGCGAAACGATCTGGCCTTACACGAACGTTCACGGGGCTCGTATTATTGTTGGGGCTATGCATGTTGACGGTGGGCTCTCAGTACACTTCTACGAGCGTTTCTTCGCACGAGAGGCGATGGGATAGTCTTACGGCGCTAGCAAAGGCAGGTGACGCACAGGCAGCGCAGCAATACGCCAATATGCTCACAGTTCAACCAGTTCAGTAAGATTGTGGCAGGGCGCAAGCGTATGACTGAATGCGTGTGAAATGCAGATATTGGGGCACATCTAATGCCTTGTACATTGCGGTATCTAGTTGCTATGCCGCGCAGTTTCGCCACCGCATTTGGAAACAGTTCAGCAAGGCTGTGGCGTGGTGCAGCTGTATAATTGCACTGTTGTTCAGATGCCTCTTCATGTTCTCTTGTTGTGGGCTTCTTCAGGATTTCCTGGGGCCTCTCTCGGGTGTTCGTGGGTCTTTGGGCCATATGGGTAGGCTGTCTTCGTGAGTGTACAAGCCTTTCGGAACAATCTCGGCGCTGCCTCAGGCGTCTGCGGGCTGTCTAGGGTCGGTGTTTGGGAAGGGGGGGGGGGATGGGGGAACAGTGAGAGGGGAGGTCAAGCTGCCCCATGTCCATTTTGCACAGCAGGTGCATTCGATCCCATCACGTGCGTCGCATGCTTAGGAGAAGTACCGGCCGTGGTCGCATCGCCAATATTCAATAGATTTTTGACCACCATTTTCTGAGAAAGACTTCCAACCACTGTCGCAGCATCCGCCATAAAAGTTCCCACCACATTCAAAGAGAGACTTCCTACCCCTGCCGTAGTACCAGCCGTCGGGGTACTGCCCAACTTCCCAGAGAGACTTCCAATCAATGGATCTGGCTTCTCAAACCACCGCTCCGTGGGGCCCTCGGGGCTGGTCCTGGGATCTGCACCACCCCCTCGGCGTTCCGAAGTTTGTCCTGGAAGATCGGCCATAGTTCTTTTGCGTGAAGCATGTCCTGCATGTTCAAATATATGGTCAGCACTCCTTTCCGCTCCATCTGACCGTCGCCGTCTTTGGTTGGCCGAGTTTTCCTTGTACCTTCAGTTGAGCACGAAGAGGCTGAGCTGTGCTGGGGTTTGTTTGTCCACTACCTGATGCCAGAACTCCGTGAACGCCTTGTGTCCGTCCGAGTGAGGAGAGGCGCTGTCTTGTGCCAATCGTGCAAGCGCCCGCTGGATGATGTACACGAACGGCGCGACGTAGGGCGGACCTCGGGCCTTCCAATCGATATTCTCGCCTCCTTGCTCGCGCTCCTTCGTGTTCTTGCCGGTCTTGTCGTAGTTCGGTTGCACTCGATGCAGGCCTGGCCCAGGTTGCTCGCGCCCTCGTCCACGAAGCAGCTCCGACAAACGTTGCTCCCCAGCATCGCCGTCCGACGCGCCAGGCCCACGACGAGCCTCGCCATGCCCTTCGCCATCGCCTCCGAGGTGTCCTGCTTCTTCGACTTGCGCCCCCACCCCAGCGCCTCTTGGGCACCAGTCCGCGTCGCTCGGGGCGCCATCCAGCACGGCAGCGGAGGCGCCGACGTGTCTGCCCGACGAGATTGTGCGGAAACCAACTCGAGTTGTCTTCGCTCTTTCTCTGCGGGGTTTGCTAGGTAATGGCAGGTGTGTAGGAGAAGATGGGTGCGCAGGTCATCATGACCAGCTCCATCGAACTCGCATAAAGGGTATGTTTTACTGACTGGCTCGACGAAAAACGTATTTTATGCTGCACCCCTTGGATCGCATCGTCTCCTTAAGATGCCGCTCTGCAGATGCATGCTAGCCGTGACCTGTGTAGCGTACGTCCTATTGCAAACGATGCGGGCGTTCGTTGCCGTGCGTACATGTGCAATTTACGGACATAGTGCCTTTGTCGAAGGCGTGCAGCGAGTCCCCTTTTAGTCCCGAACGAGGCCCTGCATTCCCCCCCCCCCTCCTTTGACGTCTGGACATACGAACGGCCTGTCCACGAATGTGTCCTCGTCGTCCCCGTCATTCTCCACGTCCTCCTCTCCGAGTCCTGGTGGGCGAATCTGGCACGAGGAAGCAGCAGCAACAGCAGTGGCAGCAGCAGCAGCAGGAGCAGCAGCTTGACTATTCGAACACATCTGAAGCAGTCAGGGGCAAGCGTGCTGCGTCAAGCCCGTGTCGAGAGAGCAGGGGTCGCATTCGTCGGAATCGAGGAGGGGGAGCAGGACGGCGCAGACCTAGTTGTTCATCAGTGGATGATGCGCTCACGCTTGATACCACGACATGATGCGGACGCGGAGCTCAACTGCACAGGGAGCCACGAAAAACCTACACATTCGAATGTTTGCGCTTGTGCCTCGGACCCATCCAGGAGGCACTTCCTGCCATAGCGATGCGGCCCAGCTTGGCGATGTGCGCGTCCATCATTTGATACTGGTGCTCGCTCAGGCAGCAACACTCCATCGCCGACAACATCATTGTCTGAACCAGGGATAGGAAGAGCGTGCGCTTCCACCGACGCGGTACTCGCAGCGACCGCACGCCTCCCAGTCAAAAAAAACGAGCTCGTAGCAACAGTGCGCCCCTCGAGCTTGTGCAGCGTGGTCTGCGTGGCAACGTCCACCACAGATCCAGCCACCCGCCCAGGTCGGCCAAGCCACTGCTTACAGGCGGATGCCTGAGGGCCACACAGGTAGAAGCTTGACCTGCTTGTCCCTATTCTTCTCCATACCGCCGATCGCCAAGGCAGCGTCCAGGAACTTGTCGGCATGCTGTAGTTGTCCCACCACTTCTCGTACCGTGCTGCCGAGTTCGGTGTAGGCCGTTGGCACATGCACAGCGCGGGAGGCCTGCCTCGTCGTCGTCAGGGGGGTCACCTCGAAGCAAAGACGCCCCCCGGCTTCGAGTTTATCGCCGCTGCCAGGAAAGTCATGTTCCGAGAGAAGGAACCTAACAATGCACTGACAATGAGTGGGTCGCCCATCAGCCCGCCAGTGTGGGACTTCATGAAAACAAACCATCGTCCCCCTGCATCTCGTCTCCGCCCCTGTAGTGGTGCAGAGGTTCCAGTCCTCCCGTTTAGCTCTGTCTCCAACCGTCGCGTCAGAGACCGCCCGCGTTATACTCCCGGAAGCATTGGAAAGGTCTTTGATCGCATTGGCGAAGCTCATCTCCGACTGCCTCAACCTTCAAGACAGACACTGCGTGACCAATCTGGATCCTTCCCGACGCGTGTGTTTAGCCAGGCAGTTCGCCCAAAGGGGCTCGCGCGTTGAGTTGCTTAGCGAAGAAACCCTTGCTGACAGAGGGCAACGCGTGAATGGCTCGCTTTCTCAGCGCATCAGGCTTTGAATTGCTTGTTGTCGGTCCATGTCTTATGCTACGAGACCAAAGCAAGGGCGCCGTACCCTTCCGTTGTACAGTTGTGAGGCCCAAGAGAACCAGCCTCTTGAACATGCCCACTTAAACATGACTCTGCTCACATCCAATGCGAAGGTGCCCTGTCCGCTGAGAAGCACAAGCCCAACAGCTCTGCGAGTGGCGTCTCCGTTGGTACAGCTCTACGCTTCGTCGTTTGCCTGAAGTACGGGATGAGAGCAGCGTAATCTTCGGCAGCTCGATCGGTTCGTTCACTGGCCTTCCGGGCTGGGACTACCGATGGAGGTGCGACTTCCCGTCGCCGTCGCCATTCATCCCTGCCCAGTTCGGTAGCCCGCGTTCCTCCTTGCCCTCCCCTCCAGCTTCCACACGCCCAGCCAAGCGTCATTACCCAGGGTGGTGTTTTCGAGCCTCTCACCATCTCGACGTCGAGCTCCAAAACGGCAGCGGGCAGCCTGCCTTGATGATCGGACCGCCTCATGCATCCTGCATCCTTGCCAGGCTTCTCGAACCTGCTCCAAGTGTAGTTGTTTCGTCTTCGTCGCCAGTTTGGATATCCGATGCTGCTGTTGAAGTACTCGCGAAGGCCCTGTCAGCTTCTCATCAATTATATTAAGCTTGTTCCCCTGCTCACAGTCATCGTGCACTGAACCTCTTGGTTGTCGCAGGGCATGTCGTTATTCCAAGAGTCTGCGCCGTTCATTACAATCTTCTCTTTTTGGTGCCCACACCAGTCGAGAGCAACAACTTCGCGCCCGTCTCGCACATGATGTATTTTGAAGCTCCCCCACAAGAATCCGACGAGTGCTTGGCTGCCAATTCCTTCATTTGTTCCCCATTGGCCTTCAGCTGGCTATCGACTGGCCTTATAAGCTCCCTCTTCTGTGCTCCCCGAAGAAGAGCCGCCATCATTGCATCGCCACCAAGTCGGGAAGGAGAGCCATGCGGTCATTCTCAAGGATCGCTCCCGCAGTTCGACTCAAGCCAAACAGGGATGTGGTCGCGCGGGGGGAATGCCTCGACCAGGCTGCAGCATGTTTCCGATGCCAAGAACTGTGTGGCATCTTCGAAATCGAGCTAACCATCCTCGAGGAAACATCCAATAGTCGATCGTGCTGCCTGTTGATGGGCTGTTGGCTGGCCAGCGCGTATGTCCATGAGGACAGTATAAGGTCGCTGATGCCAATTTTGCCCCACTACAGTCAGGTGAATATTGCTGGTGGTGAGAATATATAGCGCATTTGCACGTATCGGAGGCCTGAGGGGAGCATGTGCCATGTCTTCGTGGCGTCGGGTGATTCGACTGTGAAGCATCGCAAACGCGATGCCGTCGGGACCGACCAACGGACGACCGCGACGACAACCGACCGACAGACGGGCCGACGACAATCAGCCGACCGACGGACGGACTGACCGAGACGACGACGACCGACGACGGCGGATGTTCGGACAGACCGACCGACCGACACCCAACGACCAAAACGACCGACCGACCGACCGAGACAACGACGAATGACGACCGACGGACCGACCGACCGACAACCGACGACCAGACGGACCGACGGACCGACCGACCGACCGACCGAGGCGACGACGAACGACGACGACGGACGGACCGACCGACACACCGACGACCCACGACGGGGCCGACCGACTGACCGACCGAGAAGACGACGACTGACGACGACCGACCGACCAACCGACCTACCGACCGACCGATGTTTGAGCCCACCCGACCGACCGACCGACAGCAGACGACCAGACGGACCGACCGACCGACCAGCCGAGGCGACGACGAGCGACGACGACGGACGGACCGACCGACACACCGACGACCCACGACGGGGCCGACCGACCGACCGAGAAGATGACAACGGACGACGACCGACCAACCGACCGACCGACCGACCGACCGATGATTGAGCCCACCCGACCGACCGACCGACAGCCGACGACATGACGGATGGACGGACCGACCGACCGACCGACCGAGGCGACGACGAGCGACGACGACGGACGGACCGACCGACACACCGAAGACCCACGACGGGGCCGACCGACCCACCGACCGAGAAGACGACGACGGATTACGACCGACCGACCAACCGACCGACCGACCGACCGATGATTGAGCCCACCCGACCGACCGACCGACCGACCGACGACCAGACCGACCGACCGAGACAACGCACGCGCACCAGCGCTTGCGAACAGGCCTTGGGAACGAGGCGTGACTACAATGCTAGGACCCCCCCCCGCCCCCAGGCCCGCATCCCACCCTCCCCCCGCCTCATGTATATATTGGTAACCCTAAACGGGGTGAGGCTCCAGGGATGCTGGCTCCAGCGCCTCATGCTTTCAAGGCAGATGGGTTCCATCGCCGAGTTGTTTCGCGTGCCGGTGGTTCCAGCGCCCCACGGCGCCCGTTCCAGCGCCCAATACTTACGAGAGGTAATGGTTCCAGCGCCTCATGCCTTCAAGCTAGATGGGTTCCAGCGCCCAGTTTTTACGGGGGGCGGTGGTTCCAGCGCCCCACGGCGTCGGTTCCAGTGCCCAGTACTTGCGAGGGATAGTGAGTGGTTCCAGCGCCTCATGGCTTCAAGGTAGATATGGGTTCCAGCTCGCGCCTTTTACGATGGACGGTGGTTCCAGAGCCCCACGGCGTCGGTTCCAGTGCCCAATATTTTCCTTGGATAGTGGTTCCAGCGCCTCATGCCTTCAAGACCTACGCATGGGTTCCAGCGCCCATTTTTACGAGGGATTCAGGCGGCAGGTGGAGCGATCCACGCCGCCACCACCATTAACCCATGCCCCAGCTGATTCGAATTTGTCGCTACCACATTGTTCACCTCCTCACTGTAGAAAGTGTCGAATCGTTTCTCCTGCTCCGTGTCTATGTCTTTCTCGTGTCTTCGTGGCCCCCAGATCTGGGCAACGTGGGTCATTCCAACTACCTGACTTCACCCGCACCCCGAGTCCATCATCAATACCAGGGTAGAAGAGAGGCAACGCTTTGCATGGAAGTACCGACTGCCACCATGTTGTCAGTGATTATACCGTCTCGTGATCAGCTCCATTCTCATTATGTTTTTTTTGTGGGGAAGGGTAGTGGAGTATTCCGTACATGATGTCGACGGTTCTTTTTTCACCCGAACCGCAAATCCCCGCCCAACCACATGCTTCGGTGGTGTCCACGTCCCACGCCTGTCGCACACATGTTCGTCGTTATATCCAGCGCGCAGGCTCACTGCACGTCCCGTTATCGTAGTCATCCTGACACCAGGTTGGTGGACCGCCTTCGCCGAGAACCGACGTCCATTCTGTCTCGTCCGTAGAACGTTTCGCCTTTCTGCAGACAGCCTGTGTGCCAGACAGTAGTACAGCATCGTATTCCTGAATATGAACAAGAACTCCTGCCATTTGTGTCCTCTCGCCCACAGGATTGTATCCAATCGCTCGGAGTACGGAGCCCGCTGCTGGCGTAATCGGCTTGGCGACTGGCGGGCGTTCGGTCCGTCGCAGAGGCAACGGGATGTGCAGCGCGACTGTGTTGCCAGCCCCCCGCCCATTCAGGCAACATGCTCGAGGGGAGAGGGGCTGTGGAGCAAGTGGAGCAAGTGGGAGGATGGGGGGGGAGGGAGAAGGGAGGAAGGAGGACGAGGAGGAAGTGGAGGAGGTACCGGAGGAGATGGAGGAGGAGACGGAGGGAACCAGAGAGGGGGAAGGGGGCAGTCGCTTTCCCGAGGCGCGCGCGCGCGAGCACGAGGTGCAGGCCACAGCTCTGGCTGCCAGGGCAGGGGGCGCACCGCGGCCCGTGCGCGCCCCGGCGCGGCCTGCGGCCATGGACAGCTCGGGGCACCCGGGCCCGGCGGGCCCCGCGGCGTGGGACCGCCTGGCGGTGAGCGAGCTCGTCCGCGCAGCCGGGCGCCTGGCGCGGCGGCGCGGGCCGGGCGCGCCCGCCGGGCACCTCTGGCCCGGCCTGCTGCGGGAGCTCCGCCTCCGGCTCCCGGGCATGTCCGCCTCCGACGCGGCGGCCGTGTGCAGCGCCGCCGCCAAGGCGCCGGGGGGCGCCGCGGGCGAGAAGGCGCAGCTGTTCGGGGCCCTCGCCGCGCAGCTGGGGTCGCAGGCGCAGCGCCTGCGGCCGGCGGAGCTTGGGCGGACCCCACCGCGTGTCGGCCCAGTTCGGTGCGCGCCGCCGCCGCGTGCCGGCACGCGCGGGGGCGTGCAGGGATCGGGCCTGGTGCGCGGTGGGCGTCGTCCAAGAGAGGAGCTGGCGCGCGCGGCGTCCGGCCTCGCCACGTGCCAGGTGGTGCCGCCCGACCACGCGGCCTTCGGGGCGCTGGCGTCCGTGGCGCAGGCGGGAGCGCGGGAGTTTGGCGGAGACGCCGCCCAGTTGCTGCTCAACGCGTTCGCGAAGCTGAGGCGCTGCGGACACGAGGCGCTGTTCGGCGCGCTGGCGCTGGAGCTCGAGCGGCGGGCGGACGAGCTGTGCCCCAGAGATGCCGCCGTCCTCGCCAGCGCGTACGCCTCCGCCGCCGTGGCGAGCCCAGGCCTCTCGGCAGCGTTGTCGGCGCGCTTGGCGGCATGCGCGGGCGAATTGTCGCCGCTGGACCTGGCGAACAGCGTGAGCGTTTTCGCCCGGGCGCACACGGAGGGAGCACAGGCGCTCTTATCGGCGTTGGCCGTGGAGGCCGCCAATCGCCTCGGCGACTTCGAGCCGCGGCAGCTCGCGGGCATCGGCTGGGCTTACGCGCGGCTGCACCACGCAGCTGCCCCGAGGTTGCTGAGCGGGGTGGCGGCGCACCTGGCGCGCGCACGCGGCCTCGAGCGGCTTGGCTCCCAGGGGCTCGTGAACCTTTTGAGCGCGTACGCCAGGGTGCAGGTCCATCCCCGGGAATTGCTGGAGGGCGTCGAAGCACACCTCATGGAACGCTCGGACGTGGTGCGGGGCATGGCTCAAGTTGACCTCTTGTACACAGCTTCCTCGCTGGCCAGGCTGGGGGCTGGCAGCCCCGCGCTCTTCGCGCTCGTTGCCGACGCGGCGCTGGCGTCGCCTGTGCAGCCCACCGCGAAGCAGGGCATTTACCTGCTGCAGGCGTGTTCGCAGGCGCATTGCGCCCATGTGGGCCTGTTCGACGGCCTCTCGGTTTCGCTCCGTGCGGCGCTGGGGGGCGGCGTGGCGGACGGCGGACTGTCGGCCAGCGACTGGGTGGTGGCACTGGGAGCATACGCGAGCACTGGGCTGCTGGGCCACTCCGCATCCACCCGCGCGCTGTGCCGGGAGGCGCTGGCCGCATGTTGCGCGCTGCCTAGCTAGGGGGCCACATGCGAACCCTACCTCTACCCCACACGATTTCTGAGGGGGTAGGGGTAGGGTTCGCATGTGGCCCCCTACTAGCGCCGTTGCGGGGGACCCGCTGCCAGATTCGGGCGAAGGCCTCTCCGCCATGGACGTCGCCATGCTGTTGCGGTCGCTGTCCCGGCGATGGATTCCAGGTGCCGGTGATGCGGCCTCGTTTTTGGTCACTCAGCTCCTCGTCCGGCGAGCGGAGTTCTCGGTGCAGGACCTCCTCGCGGCCGGGTACGCTGTGGTCTCGCTGCAGGCATCTGAGGATCCAGCCGCCGCTGGAGTGGTGCCACCGCACCTGCACAGCGAGCTGCTACTCTTGGTCTCGGAGGAGCTGGTCTCTGGGCGCCTGGAGCGGTTGTCTGCAGCAGAGCTCGGCACTGCTGCAAGCCTCTTGGCGCGCGCTGGGCATGCAGAGCCTGCAGCCTGGGGGTCTGTCACCGAGCAGTTGGCCCGGGTGCTCGAGGACTGCCCAGCCGAGGGTTCTGGCGGCGACCTGCGGCAGGCCGCCCACAGTCTCGTCGTCGTGCTGAACTGCTGCTCGCAGGTGCTCGTGCAGGATGCGTCGATGCTGCGGCGCGCGATCGTGTGGCTGCGGGCAGCCGGTCTCTCGCAAGGGGGCACGCTGGCGCACCTGCTGGACGGGCCCCGTCTCGGAATCGCCGCGGCCGCCATGGCCAAGCTCGGCGCCGCGAGCCCGGCGGAGGTCGAGCGCCTGGGGCTGCCAGCCAGCGACTGCGAGGAGGTGTGGCAGCTGCTGCTCTGCAGGGGGGCGTCCTCCGAGGAGTCTCTGGGCCTCTTCGCGGTGGGGCTGGCGCACGCCCTCGCGGGTGCGCCGCGCGCCTGCGCAGGCCTCCGAGGCGCGCTGCGGGGCGCGGCGCACGCGTGCCTCGCGGCCGCGCCCCGCGCGCTGGAGGCGGCGGGCGAGGGCGACGACGCCGCCAGGAGCTCCTCGCAGCTGCTGACCGCCCTGCAGAGCCTGGCGCTGTGGGGCGGGCCGCTCGCCGGGCTCCCCCGGGGCGCCGTGCTCTCCCTCGCTGAGCTGCTGCGCGCCGCCGCGCCCCCGCTCGCGGCCAGGGCGTCCGCCCCGCGCCGCGAGGGCGCGCAGGCGCGCGAGGCGCTGGACGTGCTGGAGGCGCTGTGCCGGCGGGCGCTGCGGGGCGGCGGCGGCAGTGGCGCGGCCGCCGCGGCGGCTGGCCTCGGCCGCTTTCGAGGTGTGCCGGTGCTGCGCACCGAGGAGCCAGTCGCGCAGCTGTTCGTGGACATCGCGCTGCACCATCCTGCGGCGCGGCAGGGCGGGGTCCCCCAAAACCGCTGCGGCTGCCCGCGCCAGCCCGGACCCTCGTGGGGCTGCAGGAGTGCGGGGCCCTGGCCATTCTCGGCTTCCCCCCCCCCCGCTGTCTCCGTTTCCTTTTCCCCGCCTCTCCCCCTCATGTCGCCAACCTGTTGCCGAGGTGTTTCTCCCGCCGCGATGCGCTTGGTCTCCCAGAGCCTGGGATTATGTCCGATCCGCATCTTAATGGTACCAGCGGGTGGACCCCAAGCAGCGAGTCAGAAGACAGTAATGAAGGTGGAATGGGCGCCAGCTGTTCACTTGGAAGAGAGATAGATTGCAACTGGAATTGGATTTGCATTGAGACTGCAATCGGAATAGAGGTGGCAATGGAAATGGGAATAGGAATGTGAATGGGCATTCGCATTGTTCAAATTGGATGGAATCGGATTGGCATCGCAATCAGACCTCCGTCTGGGGGTGGGCACTGATCACTGACTTGCGAGCACCGTGTCGCTGACAGGGCCGGCTCAACTCCCCTCCCACGGGGCAGTCAGCACGGCCCGAGGCAGTCGGGGACAGGGCCCAAGAACATTCTTGGCTCAGGGCTCAGGGGCGGCCTGATCCTCGCCTCGCTCCAAGAAGGTGGGCAGGCGGCCAGATGGGGAGCCTCGAGGGTGAGAGGCTCGCCACGGAAGGGGTCGGTTAGGCCGCGCCCGGTGACCAGCCAGGGGCAATGATTCCGTGCAGGGTATTCCAGACGCCGCGCCCGGTGATCTCTTCAGAACCCCTTCAGCGCATGCACTGTCTGAAGAGGAGCATGAACACGCGAGGACCCTGGAGCCTGGAGGGAGTCAAGGAGGCGAGAGAAAAGCAACGTGGTGAGGATCCAGAGGAGGAGGAGGAGGAGGAGAGCTAGCAGCAGCAGCAGAAGGGGAGAGGAGAGGATGACAACGACGACAGCGACGGTAGCGTTAGTTTGCCTGGGCTGATCGAGGACTGGTGCTCAGCAACGGAGGGTGAACGGAGGAGGAGGAGGAGGAGGAGGAGGAGGAGGAGGAGGCGGGAGGAAAGTCGGGAGAGGGAGGAGGAGGAGGAGGACGAGGAGGAGGACGAGGAGGACGAGGAGGGAGGAGGAGGAGGAGGAGGAGTAGGATGAGGAGGAGGAGGAGGAGAAGGGAAGATGAGGAGCAGTAGCAGGAGGAGCAGGACGGAGGATGGGGATGCTGGTGGGATATGTTCGGAGGAGGAGGTTAGTAAGGAGGCGAAGGAAGAGGAGAAGGGGGAGGAGAAGCGGGACAGGTGAAGAGCGGGGGATGTTGACGGAGAGCCAGTCAGTCAGTCAGTCAGTCAGTCAGTCAGTCAGTCAGTCAGTCTGGCAAAGCCGTGTACCTAAAGGCGAACGGGCAGTACAGATCAGGATGAGGGGGAGGAGGAGGAGGAGGAGGAGGAGGAGGAGGAGGAGGAGGAGGAGGAGGAGGAGGAGAACGTGGAGTAGGAGTAGGATACTGGCTGAAGACCACCGCGAGACGCCATCACCGGCGTGTCTGCTATCGACATGCATTTTCACACGCTTCGCATCTCGCCACCAGACCGTCCAGAGACAATTTTCCGAGCGAGTTGTCGCGAGAAGAACCGTAGAGGCGCATGAGCGGAGCGAACGGATGAGTGAAGCGGGCAGAAGAGACATTGGTCCGACCAAAGGAGGGGACAGCCCATCCAAACCCACCAACTGTCGGACTTGCGGATTTTGGGCCCTCTGGAAGGCTCTTGTAGGCCCGTTGAAACAACATTGGGGCTCGTCCCCGCTTCTTCCCTCGCCTGCCCCCCCCTGCTATACCATTCGCGCGCGCGCGTAGCTCCGTGGTCTCCGTGCAGTCAAACCCTTCGAATACGGACTGCAGTTTGTTTCGCTTGCCCTCGGGCGCCCCTCGCAAGTCGAGGCCCGCCTGAGGGCAGAACTGGGCTCCCTCCTGCCCCCGCTGAGGTTCCTTGCGTCGAGACTTCGGCTGCAGGCTCCTCCCCGCCATCCCCGCCGTCTCCTCGCCTCGCGCGGGCGCGCGCCCGTGCGCGGGAGGCCATCTGCCTGCTCAACGAGGCGGAGAAGGACCCGAAGGTGGAGGTGCCGGCCGGCCTGGCGCTGTGGGCGCGGGCCGAAGGGCTGCCTCTGTCGGAGGAGGCGCCGCGCGGGGCGCCAGGCAGGGGGGGCCGAGGGGGGAAGGGCAGTACGCGTCGTAGGGTACGACATCGTTTTGTAATGATTGGTGGGGGGGGGGAGAGAGAGAGACGGGGGGGGGGGATTGTCAGAGCCCCACATCATCAGGGGTAACTCGGGTCAGGGCTAACTCGGGTTCGCTTTTCGGGATTCCGAGCCCGAGTTACCCCGGACCCGAGTTACCCCGGATAACTCGGGCGTCCAGAGCCCCACATCATCAGGGGTAACTCGGGTCAGGGCTAACTCGGGTTCCTTTTCCGGGAATCCAAACCCGAGTTACCCCGGACCCGAGTTACCCCGGATAACTCGGGCGCCCAAGATTGGGTGAGGTGGGCGACGAGAAGGGTTCGCGGAGGGGATGGGGACGGGCAGCAAGAGGGGACGGGAAGGTGGGTGCCTTCCTGCGGGGAGGTGGGGGCAGAGCGAGTGGGGGGGGCTACAGAGGTGTGAGGGGAGGGCCGGGGCCAACGATTTTTTCTCGAGGGGCCAAAGATTTATTCTTGACGGGGGACACGCCGCTTCCACCCTGCTATCTTTCCGCCGGGGCCAAAGATTTTTTTCTCGAGGGGCCAAATATCTATTCTTGACGGGGGGCACGCCGCTTCCACCCTGCTACCTTTCCTCGCCCGCTTCGCTCCGCTCCGCCCCCAGGCTGCGCAGAGGACGAGACCAGGACCGCTGGGGCCTCTAGGTCTGTGGAGGACGATCCATGGAGAGGAAGCACGTTGCCGAATCATTTCCAGATGTCTAGAACATGTGTCACAACTGTTTTTGAACATGTGGAAACATGTTTAAAACGTGCTTCCTACATTTTAAGCACATGTTTAGATCGATGGTAGGACTGTTAGGATGTCCATCGTCGTGGCATTCGCAGCTCTAGGTCTGCCGACTGTGGACCAGATCTGGGCCGGGGCTCCCCGCGGCGCTTGTTCTTTCGATCCGTGAGCGCGAGGGCAGCGACATGCAGGCCAGACGACATGGGGTGGGGGGACGATCGTGGAATCCTGCGGTTGTGGGGCAGGCTTAGGGGAACGAGCAATGACATACACATAAAAACTCGGAGGTCCGCGCGGACCTCCGAGTTTGTATGTTTATGTAATTTTTCGTTCCCCTAAAGCTGGAGTGCGGCCCAAATCGAGATGCGGCCCAGCAGGGGTGCATGGCGTCCGCCCCAGGGACCTTGGAGCGGACGTGGCGGCTCAAACGGCAAGCCTCCGTGTGCCGAAACGGATGCACAGGCACATAGAGTTACAGCAGCGTTCGCTGGGCATCGCTCGGACGTGTGCATTTTTCCTTCGGCGAGGACCATCGAGGAGCATCCTTGATCATTTGGCGAAAAAGACACGCACAAAACCGACAACAAACACAGGGAATGGACGTCCGAGCGATGGCCAGTTCGTCTCACCTCAATCTGTTACGTATATACGCGCGGCTTTGGGTACCCGCCTCTTTCCGGGATGCTACAGCGACGAGCTTGCAATCTTCTAAGTAAACCTAAAGGCATTCTCGGGCGCAGCGTTCCGAATTTTTCTTTCACAACGCTCGTGTGATTGGCCTAGCGCTGGAGCGTAAGTTCAAGTTGATGTGGCAGGCTCTCCAGAGGCGTTTGCGTTGCGGCCAGTGGGGGGAGGGCACCACGAGTACGGCAATTCCAATATTCAAGCGGCTCATCTGAATTCGAATAGTATTCGCGCATGTGTGCTTGCCTTTGCTCAACATCCGTCACAGAGGGGATCTTCTTAGCAGTGAGGATCGCGCTCGAACGTCAACCCTGCTTTCAGTCCCTCCCAATGCCTCCCACATGTCCTTGTACAACTACTCAATGATATCGAGTAGCTGTCCCATGGCTCATTTACCTAACAGCGAAGACTGATAGGTTTCTAGTTGACTCAAAAGAGCTCACAGATCACTCCACAGGGGGGTCCGGGCAGGTGTTGGGAGTTGCCGGGCGGCAGGTGCCGGGCTCGTTTTTCGCCAACAGTCACACACTTCGTGCTCTTCGATTTCCCAGAACTCCATTCCCAGGCCACATTCTGGAGGGCCGAATGCAACAGTCACACACTTCGTGCTCTTCGAGTTCCCAGAACTCCATTCCCGGGCCACATTCTGGAGGGCCGGATGCAACAGTCACACACTTCGTGCTCTTCGAGTTCCCAGAACTCCATTCCCGGGCCACATTCTGGAGGGCCGGATGCAACAGTCACACACTTCGTGCTCTTCGAGTTCCCAGAACTCCATTCCCGGGCCACATTTTGGATGCCCGGAGCCAACTGTAGGCCACTTCGTGCTCTTCGAGTTCCCAGAACTCCATTCCCGGGCCACATTTTGGATGCCCGGAGCCAACTGTAGGCCACTTCGTGGTCTTCGAGTTCCCAGAACTCCATTCCCGGGCCACATTTTGAATGCCCGGAGCCAACTGTAGGCCACTTCGTGGTCTTCGAGTTCCCAGAACTCCATTCCTGGGCATGAATTTGAATGCCCGGAGCCAACTGTAGGCCATTGCCAGATTTTTGCCCGGAGCCAACTGTAGGCCACTTCGTGGTCTTCGAGTTCCCAGAACTCCATTCCTGGGCATGGAATGCCCGGAGCCAACTGTAGGCCACTTCGTGTTCTTCGAGTTCCCAGAACTACATTCCCGGGCCACATTTTGAATGCTGAGGCAGGCTGAGGCTGAGGCTGAGGCAGGCTGATGCTGAGGCAGGCTGAGGCTGAGGCTGAGGCTGATGCAGGCTGAGGCTGAGGCAGGCTGAGGCTGAGGCCGAGGCTGAAGGCAGACTGAGGCTGAGGCTGAAGCAGGCTGAGGCTGAGGCTGAGGCAGGCTGAGGCTGAGGCAGGCTGAGGCTGAGGCTGAGGCAGGCTGAGGCTGAGGCTGTGTCTGTGACTGCCGTTGCCACTGCGACTGTCATCGCGAATGCGACTACGACTGCGAGAACAGCACAATTCTACAACTGGATTCTCATTTGAATCTTAAGGGGAATGCTTCCAGATATGCTCCTACACATCGCTGTTAGGTTGCTTTGCCGGGATAATTCTATTGCGTACCTTTCACACTATCAGTGCTGCTCTCTCCCTCCCCCCAGATCCTGTGCGAGCGGGGCGCCATTGCCTTTCGCGCACATTGCCTTTCGCGCACGGGGTCTCATTCGTTTACGTTGCTTTTGTGGGTGCCTTTCCAACAGGGACTCACACCCCCAAAATGGCGTTCCCACTGCAGCGTTGGCCTCATTTCAGGATCGGAGCTTTGCTCCCGTCGTTTAGACTTTACGGGACGTGAAAACGACCACAGCCACTGCTTTTCTTTTGTTGCCGCCTTCCAGCCAGCATAAGCAGAGCAGTGGTTGTGGTTGGTCAATTTCGTTCAGCTTGGCACCAGGGAAATGACCACAACCACTGCTTCTTTCTCGGCCGGCGGTAAGGCGGCGCAGGCAAGAAGCAGTGGTTGTGGTCATGTCCCCGTCCCGCAGACTTGGCGCCCCCGCCCGAGCGCAGGCCACACTTCCGTATCCGATTCTTCAGGCTTCCGCCACATCCGCCGACCCCTTGGATTTTCCCCGGGATCGTTCACCACAGCTTCCTTGCAAACCGTGGGAAAATGAGGTTGTTCAGGGCCCGTCACAGCGAGAAGGGGAGCCGACATGGGTCGCAAACTGGCCCAGAGGGCTTCCAGACGGCCCAAGCGAACCCCAAGACGGCACAGGGAGTTTTTTGGGGTTGTGTTTGGGGCCTTGCACGGGTGCCGGAGCCAGGGAAGTATGTTACACCCCGGAGACATCTTACGGTTGTCGGCGGTTTCCAAGCGGGATGTCCCGCTAACTGTTAATGTTCGGAGATGTTTGGGCTGACCTTGTCGATGGCAATGACGTCGTTGATGATCACGACACTGATGACGATGATCGGCTCCCTCTCCTCCTCTCCTCCTCCCCCTGCTCCTCCCTCCTGCTCCTCTTTCTGCCTCTCCTCCTCTTCCTTCTCCTGCCCTTCCTCCTCCTCCTCCTCGTCCACGTCCTTCTTCCCTTCCCTTCCCCGCCTTCTTCTCCTCTTCCTTCTTGTCCTTCTCCTGCTGTTCCTCCTCCCGCCCTTCGTCCCTCTCCTCCTCCTCCTCCTCCTCCTCCTCCTCCTCCTCCTCCTCCTCCTCCTCCCCCGCCTTCTCCTCCTCCTTATCCCCCTTCCCTTCCCGGCCTTCTCCTCCTCTTCCTCCCCCTCCTTGTCCTCTTCCTCCTCCTCCTTCTCCTCCTCCTGCTCCTCCTGCTCCTCCTCCCCCCCCCGTCCTTCTCCTGTCGCGGGGCCCTCGTGGAGGCTTCTTGGACCGTCTTGGTGCGGTCTTGGGAGGCCCTGGGGCCGCCCCGGAGCGCCCCAGAAGGCGCACGTACGAAAAATACACGTTTTACGAAGAGAACGGGCGATTTTATACAGCGAGAGGCCCTCCAGGGGCGCATAGTGAAAGCCTCGTGGGGCGTCTTGGGGGGCCTCTGCAGCCGTCGGGAGGCCGTCGTCAGCGTTTTGGATCGCTCTTGGACCGTCGAGGACCATGTGGAGCTCTCGTCGAGGCCGCTCGGACCGCTCCTGGAGCGCTCTCGGAGCGTTTTCGGAGCCCTTTTGGGCCGTCTTGGACGTGTGTTTGCGCGTCTTGGGGCCCTCGAGGGCTCTGTGGGAACCCTCTTGGGGGCGTCTTGGGCCGTCTGGGAGCGGGTTTGGGTGGCTCTGGGGCCGTCCAGGAGCGGGGGACACCCCAAAAGGCGCACGTGTGAAACAATATACGTTTGACGAAGGAAACGAATGATTTTTTGCGTCTAGAGGCCCTCTGTGGGCGCATCGTGGATGCCTCTTGGGGCGTCTTGGGGGCCTCTTCAGCCGTTTGGAGGCCGTCGTCAGCGTTTTTGATCGCCCTTGGACGGCCGAGGACCATGTGGAGCTCTCTTCGAGGCCACTCGGACCGCTCCTGGAGCGCTCTCGGAGCCGTTTTC